GTAAGGGGGAAGTCTTTTGCCTTGCCCCTTGGCATTGTTATAAAAAAACAAGACAAAACTTTTTTCATAAACAAAAAAAGCCATTGGGTATTGACCCAGTTCCTCCCAAAGCTATCCTGTGTTTCTGTCTTTCTCCTCTTTGCTATCTTTCTTCCCAATATTTTCTTATCCCTCTCTCCTCTTAAGAACCCTTGAAAAGGTGGGAGCTGGCCTCCCACAGATGGTACAGAACTTGGGACTTGGATGCAGAGGAAATAAGTAAGAAAGAGTAGGGGCACCGTGGAAACACTTGGACATGTCTGGTTATGAATTAAAAATTAGGCGGTGGTTTTCTATTCTTTGGAAGTAAAACTGTATATTGATAAAGCAGATCAGCTAAAAATTAAGCTGAAGTAAGTAGTAAAAGTTAGGCTGTAGCTAGTATCTCTCTCTGTCTAGGTTTTTCTTTCTATCTCAATTTCTATCTATTAAATTAGGTAAAACTATAGGGTTTAGGTATAGGGATATTGGTAGGAAGAAACTTAGGGTAAAAGTAGAATTTCCCTAGTGCCAGACCTGGCACAGAGAAAATAGTGTCCAGGAGTGAGTAGCCATTGTGGACTTAGCAGCCTGCAAAAGAGAAGCCAATATGGGGCAGGGAAATAGTAGGCAGATGTTTGTGTATTCACTTGGAGAAAGATTGAACACTGGGGGAGTTAAGGTAGAGCAGCAACAAGTGCAGAGGTTCATAGAGTTTGTAGAGGAGCTGTGTCCTCTGTTTTCCAACTGTGGCACTCTGGACACAGACTCATGGGGGAGAATCAGAGTCAAAATGCAACATTGGAGCATGGGCCAGAAAGGTCCCATTGGAAGCTTTTGGCCTGTGGGCACTAATTCAGGACAGTTTGGATCTGAGTCCTAAGCAACAGGGGAGAATTGTCCCTGAGGCAGACGCAGGAGAAACAAAACCTTCCACTCCACCAGAGCTGCCACTAGATGGAGACCCTTTACAAAATCATTCAATCAGGGTTAGTCCCATCTTGACCATGAAGCCGAGTTTAAGGAACAGAAGTCTCGGGGTGAGCCAAGGGAGGAACTGAAGGGCTTGAGAGACTTAGTAATTTCTCTTTCTCAAAAATTGGAGGCTCTTCAGGTCTCTCCTTCTCAGAAGGGTACTCATCTTCCCTCTGTAGTAGCAGAATTAGACTCACCTGAAGAGTTATCTATCAGAATGGAAAAGTTGCCCATAATTGCTCTGTTGCAAAAGCCTCCTGGAGCACGGCAAACTCTTGTTGCTGGTCCTGCATCTCCCCTTCAAGCCAGTATTAGAGAAGCAGCTAGCAGAAGGGAGGAGGTGCAAGGATTTCAGATGTTTCCTATAACTGAACAGCCAGATGCCAGGATAGTATTGAGACTGTGAAAGCTGAAAGGAAATGGAGCCCAGAGCCACACTGCTTCTGGTTGCTGGTGGCAAACCAATGCATGGTTCCTTTAAGACATGGTTCCTGATTCCTACTAGCTGAGCAGAAAGCTTTTCAAAGAGTTTACAGCATCTCAGTGCAGTAATTCCACCTTAACCCTAGGGCAGCTCTCCTAGGGGAAAGCTAACTGAAAGGGCCTCTGTGGCTGAGAATGAGGCTTCAGAGACACTTGTTTGATCTGAGTTGAGTTGTTGCATTCAGGGGAGCTACAACAAATTTGGGTAATGGGACGCCTCATATTTGGAACTGTTTGCCTAAGAGTCATTATGACTTGGACTGCTAAAAGGGACTTTAAGGGTGGCTGATAAGCCAGGCCCTGATCTTGGGTTGTCAATGGAACTTTAAGACTGTTAATAGAACTGATTTTTTGAACTTTTTTTTTTTTTGAGACAGGGCTTCTCTGTGTATCTTTGGAGCTTGTCCTGAAACTCGCTCTGTAGACCAGGCTGACCTCAAACTCACAGAGTTTGCCTCTACCACCTGCTTCTACCTCCCAGGTGCCACTACTACCTGGTTACTTTTTGAACTTTTGCAAACATCAGAAATGAGACAATTTTGATTTCACCTACAATTTTAACTGTGGTGACTCACGATTCATGTACCCTCTGTCTTGTTAGAAGAAAACATAAATAGTTCTGTTAAGAGATCACTTTTGAATGTTTACTAAAGTTTGTAAATTGTAAATAGTCCTATTGAGAGTTGGCTTTTGGATGTAAGTTTGTAAGAATTGTAATTGTGTATAGTAATATTCATGCTAGAATTATGTTAACCTGTTGATATTAATGAACCATGGTTTGGTGAAGCTAAGAGAGTCTTTAGGTTTGATGCAGTAGCATCAAGAGTTTATTGATCTAAAAAAGGGCATGGTGCAACTGAGGCTGCCATAGACATCTTAGACCCATTCAAAAAGGACATTCTATCTTGGTCATCCTCTGCTCCTTTACTTAGGGATTGCTGTAGTTGTTCCAGCTACTTGCAAGCTCTTAGTAGGGACCTCAGTTAGGGACCTGAGTCAGAGCAGCATAGAGTTAAGCTCTGTACTTCCCCCCTGCCAGAGGCAGGTAGTCAGAGACAGGTAAGTCCTTCTTGCTAGCTGCCAACCTAAGACAGAGTACACTTGACAGAAAGTGTATCTCCACAATGAGTAAGGCTAATTAGTGAAGAAAGATGGCCTAAGACAGACACAATCTACCTGAGGGGTCAAGGGGCCCTTTAAAATGTTAAGAAGGAGGAACTTGTAGAGGCTCAAATTACAGTGTCTGAGAATCTGAGCAGGGCTGCATAAGGGGATGATTTGACCACAGGCATGTTTACCAGGTGTTTGGGAGGATCTGCACTTGGCTATATGGTGTGCTTTGATCTTGCAACAGGGAGATCTTTTGCCTCTCCCCTTGGCATATTATAAAAAGCCCTTTTGAATAAACTTTGATGCTGTTGGGTATTGACTCAGGACCTCCTGAAGCTATCCTGTGTTTCTGTCTTTCTTCTTGTCATCTAGGTCTATCTTTCTACCTAATATTTTCTTTTCCCTCTCTCCTCCACCTAAGAATCCTTCAAAAGGTGGGAGCAGGTCAGAGCTGGACTCCCACAGTCTCCCACACAGCAGGAAGCAGTATCAAGAATTCAGTGCCCTTATTCCCCTCACTTGCTACCTTAACTCACCTTTTTTATTTACATACCTTAAATCACTTTTTAGACCCTCATTACTTACTTAAACTTTCACATCTTCAGACTTCACAACTTGCATTCACATATCCTAAATTACTTTCTTAAACCTTCACAACTTGCAGTGTTATGCCCAGATCTCAGAGACCCCCTCAAAGACAACCACGGAGACTTAATCCATATACAAATGCAAAGAGCCTTTATTCAAGCTGGAGCTTGGGCTCTCAGTCTGTCAGATGCAGCATTGAGAGCAGAGAGACCTGAGCCTGGTCAGGACAGGTGTTTTATCATAGCAGAGGTTGGGGTGAGGGGGTTTTCCAGGGTTCAGTTTGCTTGAGTTTTCCTGCCTTTCCCACAGTCAGGACAAATCTTTGTCACCCGCCAGTCCCACAGCAGCTCAGACCCAACCAAATAAACACAGAGACTTATATTGCTTACAAACTGTATGGCCATGGCAGGCTTCTTGCTAACTGTTCTTATAGCTTAAATTAATCCATTTCCATAAATCTATACCTTGCCATGTGGCTCGTGACTTACTGGCGTCTTCACATGCTGCTTGTCATGGCGGTGGCTGGCAGTGTCTTCTTCCACCTTTCTGTTCTTTCTTTTCTCCTCTCTGTTAGTCCTGCCTATACTTCCTGCCTAGCCACTGGCCAATCAGTGTTTTATTTATTGACCAATCAGAGCAATTTGACATATAGACCATCCCACAGCAGTTCAGGACCCTGATTGGCTGACATTCGTTTAACAATCTTATCTATAATAGTCAGAAATGTTTGCAGTGTCAGCTACCTTCCCTTTAGGTTGGAATGTTAGGTATTTTCCCTCTGGATGCTGATTGGCTTGTCCCTGGGTATTGGCAGTTGGTGGTTTTCCTGGAACTGGGTGTTGACTTACAGTAAACCCAAACTTAGGCCTACTCTCTGACTGGTTTCTATTGAGTTTGTCATGGCAACAGTGTAGCCAAGCTGCCCTAGGCCTCACAACAGTAACTTCAAACTGTTTCTTTGGAAACTCTGCCTCAGCCCCCTCACCCATGCCCCCCCCCACACCCCTCCCTCTCCAAAACCTGCCCCTTCCAGAAAGCCACCAAGTGGCAGCTCCTCTTCCGGAGCTACTCAAGACCACGCCTACAGGGTATTTAAGCTCTGGTCCTTAGACCTGCCCTGTGATTTCTCCTCCTCCCTTCCCCCAAGATCACCTGGAGTACTTTGTTCAGATTAAACCTGGTCCTTCACCTTTTCATTCAGCTCGATTTGGCTCACTACACCCACACTGAAACCCACTGCCAGGGATTCAAACTATTTATCACATAGCTTTTCTTTTTCTATCTGATCATTTACCATGAGACACAGACGGTTGATTGCGGAGAGCTGTCACTGCAAGGCAACTTCCTTTAAATAAAGGAATAGTAAAAAGTTACATTGAAATCAATTTTGTGAGTTTATCTCTTTCAGTGTGAAGTCAGTCAGCAAGGTAACCTGTGCTTGCCTTTCTCAGCAGGAGACCTAGTAGCTCTAGAGAAGTGAGGCCTGGTTTTACATATGAATTGAACTGCCCAGGCAGCGGCAGTGCTGGGTGGAGGGGCTGGGTGCTGGCCATAGCCGTGCTGACAAAACTACAGTTAGCCATCAACACCATCAGAGATCCGAGAAGTTATAGTAAGAAGTATAATCCATGTGACCTATGTGTCAAATAACATGACAGACACTTGCTGCTACCTGGACTGTTACCCTAGGTTCCTAGATGGTTTCACTGGGGGCATAGGTTGGTTCCACTGTCACACAGGACAGCATTACATCTTTAGCTGCTGCACAGGGCAGCATTGGCCTTTTACTTCCAGACCCGGAAGGTCTGAGAAATTTTCCTGTGGATGAAGAACTTGGTAAAACTGACCTCCTGTGGCAGGGCAAAGTAGGCAATCAACCCAACACTGCCCATGGTTTGGGCAGGGCCCTGGTGGCAGGTGAGGCATGGGGCAGTTTGCCCAGTGGTTAGTGTCACCACAATCCAGGTGGAGTTGTCTATGTCCCATCATGTTCTCCCAAGATCTTAGAGATGCTGCTAGGAGCCGGCATTTCCGTCTATAACAGGAAGCTTTTTAAAATTAAACATTTTAGATTAAGATCCGAAATGTGCTTGCTCTCTTGGTTCCTCGGGATCCTGGATGCTGGATTGCAGACCAAGCCAGAGTTCTCCAGAGAATCCCGCTGGACTGCACCTCACCTCTCCTGGATCCTGTAACTGACCCCTCAGTGACTATTTACTTACGGGTCCCGGCGGTAAGATGGCGGCTACCGCGGAGTGCGATGTGGTAATGGCGGGGACGGAGCCTGAACTGCTGGAGGACGAAGACGCAAAGAGATAAAAGAATTTAAAAACAGACTCAGGAGAGGTAGGTAGACAGGCCCGGCGGCAGAGACAAGCAGACGCAGGTAGGCCTGCGGCGGGGGCCGGTGGAGGTAGACGGGCCCAGCGGCGGCAGCTGACAGGGATATTCAGACCCAGCGGCAGCCGGCAGAGACATTCAGGCCCAGCGGCGGCCCACAGAGGTAGACAGGCCCA